AATGCCTGGCTTTTTTTTTTTGGTTGCAGCCGTCATTGTTATTTGGTGGGCCCAGGCTGGATTCGAACCCACCAGAAAGCTTTCTTACATTCTGGTTAAGGACAGAAAAATAGGTGACATGAAATAACATTAAAGAAGGATCTTCCTGTTAGGCATGGTGGCTCACACGTATAATCCCGGCACTCTGGGAGGCCAAGGCGAGTGGATTTCTGTAGCTCAGGAGTTCAAGACCAGCCAGAGCAAGAGTGAGACCCTGTCTGTAAAAAGAAATAGCCGGTGCAGGCGTTGTGGCAGGCACCTGTAGTCCCAGTTATTTGGGAGGCTGAGGCAAGAGGATTGTGTGAGCCCAAGAGTTGGAGGTTGCTGTGAGCTATGATGCCACGGGATTCTATCATGACAAAGTGAGACTGTCTCAAAACAAATCAAAAACAAACAAACAAACCAAGGATCTTTCTAACTGAGAAATGTACTAAAAGGAGACCTGCCACCATGGTGAACAGTCAGGACTTACTGTGTCTCTGCTGTCTCCTAACAACCTGGCCTATGGTCCGTGTGATGCTCCCACATCCCTTTTTCTTACTCCCAGAAAGCGCCTGCCTGGACTGCCCAGCGTGCCAGCACTCAGGGACCACCCAGCCGCAAAGGCAGTCTCAGCATTGAAGACACCTTTGAGAGCATCAGCGAGCTGGGACCTCTGGAGCTGATGGGCCGGGAGTTGGACCTGGCCCCCTATGGGACCCTCCGCAAGTCCCAGTCAGCTGACTCCCTGAACTCCATCTCCTCTGTGAGCAACAACTTTGGGCAGGACTTCACGCTGGGCCAGGTGGAAGTGAGCATGGACTATGACGCCACCTCCCACACCCTGCACGTGGCTGTGCTGCAAGGCAAGGACCTGCTGGAGCGGGAGGAGGCCAGCTTCGAGTCCTGCTTCATGCGTGTCAGCCTGCTGCCAGATGAGCAGATTGTCGGCATTTCCCGGGTGAGTGGGCAGGGCGGAGAGGGGCCGGGGCTCACTGGACACTGCACAGGTGGGCAGGTCTGTGGACCCACAGGATCTGGGGAGGCGCTGGATGCTGATGTCAGAGCTGGAGTTGTGGGACTGTGTGGAGTGCAAGACCGGGGGTTGGGGCCTCTACCTGTGAGCTCCCTGTGCATGATTCTCAGCTTTCCTGCCATGGGAATATAGTGTATGGAAAGTGACCATTTTCATGTCTGTCCCTGTGTCAACATGAGGTCCTGATGGAAAGGGTTGGCACACTTGAGTTGCCTAATTTGGAGAGAGCTTAATAACAGCATTGTTTAGAATGGTGTGGGTGGGCTCAGCGCCTGTGGCTCAAGGGGCTAAGGTGCCAGCCACATACACCTAAGGTGGCGGGTTCGAATCCCCAGCCCGGGCCCGCCAAACAAC